CAATGTAAAATTTTGATTATCCTTATCTATTGAAAAAAATCTTTTTGGATGATTGAAAATGATTTAGCAAGTATATATTTGTTCATTAAAGTGTCATTGTGCACACAATGCACTTTATGTACATTATTTATAGGAATAACCACTTTGCACTCTGTCCATAGGTTCAAAATGTAATTTAGTATATACACAGACAGAGAATTCTTAATTGCCTTTATGGACCTAAAGCTTTTTAATTTTTTTAAACAAAATAAATAGAGATGTATTTATCTTTAATTTTTAGCCTATATCATCTTTTTAAATTTACTTTTTAATAAGTTGTGCGAAGAATGATTAAAAAAAATAGATATTCCAAAAATGGGGGTATAGGTGTTCAAAAGGCTGTTTTGTAAAAATATTCTGGTCAACCATAATAAAGTATGTTTTTTTGCTAACCTTAGATATAATTCTTAATAATTGTGAAGAAAAAATAGCATATAAACATATAAGATTTTGAAAAATATTTAAAATAAAGATATTTTGAGCATTTGATCTGAAAGATTTTTACAGAATCAACATTAATTTTTTAGATTTTTCAAATAGAAATTTCAAATATTTTCTTGACAAATGAATATTTATGATTTTCCTAAGTTTTAACAATAATTGGATGTGATTTGGTACATAGCTAAATATAATATGATCCAATTCTATACGTTGAATTTTTGCTGTTGCATTTTTAGAGGTATATACTCCGAGACAGGTTGCATGAAAATTAACCTGCAAAGATATGTTTTTTTATGGGTGTTTTAGTTAGATAATGACTTATTCAAGATATTAAAATCAAAAAATAAAGAGTTTGACAGAAAATTCTGAAAGTACGGACCTACCTTAAAGACTCTATTGTTAAAGAAAATGAAACATCAAAGACTCTGTAACAAACACTGACCAAAGCTTCAAAACAGACTCCGAAACACAGACAAAGGAATTGCAAAGACTGCAAGATAAATGTATTCAGAATTATTTTCCAAACATAATTCCTGAAGACTTCAGAGGAGATGATCAGAAAACACAGGTTTCATCTCCTTTGCCGTACTCTGGCACTACCTTCTGACTACCTTAAAACATGGCACAGACAAGTTACATTACTGGGAAGGCAATAAACGCTCTAGATGTGCTGAAAAGCTTTACCATCAAAACGTTATAATGAAACCATGACCTAATAGGTCTCTACGACATTGTGACGAATTCGTGTTACTTATGCATGAGATTAAGATTGGGTATATTTCAAGAATATCTTGCAGACATATTCCGTGTATCAAAGACGACAGTTTTTCGTGTTCTGAACATTTGAATAACTTTGTTGTATGATCATGCAAAAGCTCTTATACCTTGGCCAACAAGAGAGTAGATATTATGTAATTCGAAAAGAAAGTTTTTCTATATATAAAAACTGTAGAATAGTAATTGATTGCACCGAAATTTTAACAGAAAAACCAACATCTTTACGTTAATGGAGAGGGCTTATATAGGCTATGCCTGCTGCCCAATCCATTTATGTAAATGTTACATAATAAAGTATGTTCAAATCAAATATCTTTATCATCCCAATGGCTCACCTGGTCCGAATACAAACATTCCAACAACTAGTTGTTGTAGCACCAAATGGACTGGTGACATTTTTCTCACGATTTTGGTGTGGAAATGTGTGCGACAGACACAAAGTTGAAAATGATGGTCTTTTACCTAGGCTGAATGCAGGAGATAGGATTATGGCGGACAGGGGGTTTACTATAGAGGACATTTCGCTCGTTGGTTTTGAACTTAACCTGCCGGTGCCCCCTCGGAAACCTGGATTCAAAGGAATGAGACACAAGGAATAGCTTCAGCCAAGAATTGTGGTAGAAATGTGTGAGGGTGTGGGTTATACACCCTGATGAACTTACAAAAATCAAAAGAAGAGATTTAAAATTTTAATATTTTAAACAAAATTAAAGAACAAAATGAATAGAAATTTAAGAAAGAAAATTAACCGAATAAAATAAATTGAAAATGTCTTTGTTAGTTGGTTCTGGTCAGTAAGTGCATTTTTGGTATGAATTGAACCCGTTTGCCCTGGTCTTTCCGCAAGTGCAGAAATCTTTTAGCAAAAGGCTTTTTCCAGTTTCTTTTATTATGGCTGCACGGTACACGGTACAAAAGTTGCTGCGTTGCACACTTGGTTCCTCTTGGGTTCCAGAGTCAATGGTCCGACACCAGGCTCAACACTTTGAATTGCCTTTCAATGAAACTAAATATTTATAATTATTTCACAATGCAAATTATTATCAAGCTTTCACAACGTTTTGTTCGTATATTGACTTTACATGTAGAGGGAATTTGAAATTTTTAGGTATTTCAATAGTGGTTACTAACTATGTTTGCTATTGAAATGCACTCTCAACCACTATTGATATAATTATTTCAAAAGTGGTCGTATTTCAGTAGTGGTTACTAACTATTTTTGCTATTGAAATGCACTCTCAACCACTATTGATAGAATTATTTCAAAAGTGGTCGTTATTTCAATAGTGGTTGCAACAAGTGGATCACTTAATTGTTAAGATTTTATGTCTATGCAGTAACTCCGCGGGCTGACTAATTAGCCAATGAAAAAGCGAGATTAGGTTTTAAGTAAGTTAGATCATATTAAGTAAAATTTTAGTGGTTAAGAAGGGCTCGGTCGCTTCGCTCCCTCCGCCCCTTCTTAACCACTAAAATTTTACTTAATATGATCTAACTATTACATAAAGTGACAAGAATGCATATAAAAATGGAAAGATGTGCTTAAAAACGTTTTGTTGACTTATTATATTCATGTACATTTTTTATAATATTGAGGTTCGTTTGGAACGGATACTCCAAACTCCCTTGTAAAAGAATTTTTAGATCATAAGGTACATCAAACACATTTAAGTTTTTTCTTAGTTTGTTTCTTTGAATGCTATATGCTGGACAATCCATAGAAAAAAATTGTTCATTATCTTCTGTATGGTAATTACAATTTGGACAAGATGCATCGGCTTTTATATAATAAATTTTAGGTGTGCATTAAGATTACTAGCTTTAGTACGTAGTTGACAGTGAAGTATATTCTCATTTCTGCTATCATAGTTGAAGTATTTACAACTGCTAAAAGGTTTATTTATTTTTGACTTGAAAATTGATAAAGAAGGTGACATTTTCACATGAGAACTAAGATTATTCCACAGTTTTATAGTTGAAGGAATAAAACTTTCATAGTATAATACAATTCTACATAATGGTAAAGAAAGATTATTACCATGTGATCTCAAACTATAAGAGTTTTGCACTGGTTGGAAGGGCTGTAATAATTCGTTGAGATAATTAGAGGCAATACCATGGAAAATTTTATAAAATAATATTAGTTTATGATTTGTTCTTCTCTGATATAATGGCTCCCAGCCGAGTTCGTCGTATAGATTAGATCTTGAGGAATTTACTCTCAGACAAGTAATAATTCTTGCGGCTTCTACTTGGATCTTTTCTAACAATTCTGCATTTTCTTGTGAGCAATTATCCTATACTACATCAGCATATTCAAGGATCGGTCTAATGAATGCTAGATATATCTTAATTAAAGAATTTCTATCTAATGTGTTTTAGTAGTCTTAAGATATTTAATCTCTTACAAGCTTATTCGTAAATAGAAATATGATTATCCAGCTACCATTGGATTGGAAAAGAAGCCCTAGATGTGTATGACTGTTAAGATTTTTCAATAATTTTTCCGCTTTCACCAAAATGAATGTCTGGGAAGGGTCGTTGCTTTCTTGTAAACTTATTATAAACATTTTTGTTTTATCAGCATTGAAGTCTACGGCCCAAGAGTTTGACCATTTCTTTATTTTATCAAAATCGGTTGTAAGAGATGATGTAGGAGTATGCTGCCCCCGTATTTACCACAAAACACTCGGCACACTTCTCCAATTATTACCCATCCCAAAGGCAATTCTTGTGCGAAGGGCGTTTGCCTGGGACCAATCGCCTGACTTTTAACATGGTGGACCTCTGGCAAATCTCGACCAACAAGAAAGGATATTTCTGCTGTTTGATCCAGGTCCGGTATATGGCACGCGATATTGCGTAGGTGTTGGTAATGTTTTGCTACCTCTGGAGTTGGAATTTCCGATCTATCGTTTGGCATATTGTTGCACTCTATCACTGGTGGCAAGTCGAACGTTTCACCATCATGACATATCTGAATACAGAGATCTTTGGCTCGTCTTGCCGACAATAGTACCTTTCCAGCACAGGAAGACAGTGCGTATTCAAACTTATCATCAGCCACACCCATTGCGTCAAAAAGAGATGAAGTACCAAGAGTCTTGTTGCTCTGGTCATCTAGGATGGCATATAACTCATTCTTCAGTACTGAGTTCAGATGTGTGACCAAAGGGTTATTTTTTAAAAATAATCAGTTTCATAATTTATGTATATTAATTGAGTCAGTACCCTTCCTGCTTCTGAAAAAAATTGATGGGAAGATAATCTGAAGTCTTAAAGAGGAGATAGGTGTCCAAATGTACAAGCATGTCTGAAATTTTATGTACGTAACTTGGTGTCCACAGTGACTGTTTTTTAAATCAATAAGCTATTCTTTTCTGGTGAATCCTTTTTGAAGTATATAAACACTAGTTTGCATGTTTTATTGCATGACTTATTTCTGCCTTATTCCATTATAATTAGAAAATATATCCAAGATTACCAATGGACACCGTTACTTACATAAGCACTAAACAAGTAACATGTTACTAGAATTTAACAAGTTGTTAAAATATGAAAATAATGTAATCAAAAAGGTATGATGAAATCATGTTTAATTTTTTATTAAATGGAATTTATTTAAAAAGTCACAATTTTTATTTATAGTTTCAAAAAAGGAGAAATTATGTAAGTCACATGGACACCTAACTCCGAATCAGGCTTTAAAAACGAACAAAAAAAATAACAAGACAATCGAACACTTGTCTTTAATACTTTTAATATTTCATTTCAAAGCTTAATAATAGACTAGTTTTCAAAGAGAATTAATGCAGACAAGTAAATTGTCAGATGGATTGCTAAATATCCTGGGTCTTCTATTTTGAGTCTTGGATCTTTGTGTCATTGTTACGAACATAATTCAGTCATTTCTTGTAAATCTGAAAGAAAAAAATATATAAAAAACAAAATATAACATGATGTAATCAACACATATGCTGTTTGATTATATTTATTATATATCCTTGATAAAACCAGAAAGAAGGCAATTAAAGTACAAATTATGTCACTACTTCAAGTTTTCGTGTCTCTGTTATGAACGTAATTGCGTAAATGATATGGCAATATTAAAACAAATATTCAAAAAGTATTCATCCTTTGATAAGAGCAGAACAAAACTAACAAATATAGAATAAAATATAGTACAATATAACTTTATCATTAATAGATTATAAATAATGCAAAAACACATGTTCGTAACAAAAGACGCGAATCAAAAGTCAAATGTTAAACCAAAAGTACTCGACTCGGACAAATTTATGCATTTTGTATGGTCATAAGCAACATATTTCAGTTTCTGATTAATGGCTACATGGTATAGAGATACAATGACTGTATTTATGTGTTAAAAATTCACTAAAATTGATACAATATGAAAATACTTACCGAATCTATTATGTACGTAACTTCTGTCTTCCACGTGGACACAATGAGCATCGCCATGTTTTTTTGCAGACAGCTGCGCAACCTTTCTACTTTCGTTTTCAATTTATAATTATACCACTGCTACGGACTTCCTGAGCCAAACTTATGATTCATTGGCTGTTATTTTAGCAATCATACTGAAAGCTATTATGTTCGTAACGGTCAAGACACCAAACATTTTACAATCAGAGATCATTTTAAAATTACAAAAAGAACTGAGTTATGTTCATGAAGCATATTGTTAAAAATAATTTATCATACATACTCATTGATTAAACACAGAAATTGAACTTGACAAATTATTTAATGTTTGTAGAGAGGTGTTAAAAAGTTCAATGCATATGGACACCATGCGTTACGAACATAAACCACAAATTTTTAAGTTCAGAAAAAAATAATTAGGATAATTTTAGCATGTTTGACAAAATAAATATATTATTTCATTTATATGCTAAGATAATGTACACATATATCATGCCAAATGGTTTTATTTTTAAATAAAACAACATCTTTATGCCTATTCGAAAATTATGTCACATTTTCTGCAATTGAAATCCCGTAAATGCAATACAACAATGATCAATATTTTTTTATTCCTCAACTCATATCCATAAAACTATTTATACTATATCCTTACACAAGTATCCAATCATATCAATATCAATCTATCTGCTTCCACTTTATTTATTGGAAAATAAAGGAGAAAAGAAATATATTTTAAAAATTCACCAGTATTGAAGAATGAGTTATATACTTTCACTGCCATGTCAGGATGTCCCTTCGGGAAGATTTGTACTAACACAGTCTTAGCACACGATCGTCCATTAAAGTTCTGACCACACAACTGGGTGCACTTAGAGACCAGATCATTGTTGGGCTCCCCGCCATGCTCCTTCCCAGGTGTGCCATGTAATGACTCCTTGACTGCTGTACTCTGCACTTGACCTTTATTGCTTTCAACCATATGAAGAGCTGTTGCATGACGCTGACTGCCACAATCTGCACAGTGTACAGAGGCTTGGCAGTCTTTAGCAGCATGAGTTGTGGTCAAACAATACTTGAAACAGATGTTCTTGTCGCGTATGAACTTCTTTCGGTCTCTGAATGGTTTTTTTGAGGAATTCCCTACATTGGTTTAGAGAATTATTGGAGTGATGAATGGGACACTTCCGTAACTGCCCCTGCTCTGAGTCTCCCTGAATTTCTGTTTTCCTTGTGTACACTGTGACTGTTTGCGAATGTCAGTGAGTGGCTTGGTTGTTCTTGACGGAGAAGCATTCTCATTAGAAAATGGAAGGCCTGGATCATTTAACATCAAACTCATATCTTTGATGAAATCGCAAAACACATTAAAGGGTGGAAACCCTACATCGTGAGCTCTTTTATATCTGGTTGCTCTGTCGCTCCATTTTCCTTGAAGATGGGTAGGTTATTTGTGTACTATGGGGATGATGCCGGCTGAGGAATCATAATAACTCAGGAGTTGCATGTATTTAGGAATTTGTTTCACTGCTTCTATTTCCATCAAAATGTCATACAAGTCATACAATTTCTTGCTATCCTTCACTGTTATCTTAGGAAAGTTCCCAACTTTGGTCTTTAACGACATCTCAACCATCTCGGCGGCCCAATATCTTTCTTCTAACCTCTCCCATATTTTCGCTAAGGCTCTCGTGGGATTCCCTATGTTTGAGATTCTTATGCTTTGTGCGAACTTGGATGACTCTGGCCCTAACCATTTAACCAGTAGATCGGACTCTTCCAGTGGCGTTGCTTCCAATTCAGAGGTTACGGCTCTAAAGGAGGTTTTCCACAGGGAATAATTTTCAGATCGGTCGTTGAAGCTTAAGAATCTAGACATAAGTAGATCTTTTTTCAACAGAAACTTGGTCAACTCACCAGCCATCCCATGGTTTTGATAATTGCCCTGTGCAGGTTTGTTGACGAGTCTAGACGGTGTCAGTTCCGGCAAGAAAGAAGGTGCGTTCGGATTCATCGGTGTAGATTTATAATGTCTATGTTCTTGTACCGGAGGAGGAGGCGAGATGTCAACGTGACCTGGGATAGGCATACTAGTGAAACTAAACTGGCCTGGTAGAGGCCCCTTTGTAGGAACTTGGCCTGGCTGAGGCTTAAGTGATCCAATGTCTTCAGGCAATGCAGGCATGAGTTGGCTCGGAATATGCTCACTCGAGTGTAGTGTAAGATTCTGCTCGCGGACAAAGCTCTTTGTCCTTTCTTGTTGAATTTCACTTAGATCTCCAACGCTGGATCCTTCAGTCTCTTCGAGCACGGCATTCAGTTCTGCTTCTGCTACAGCTGCTTCTTTCTGGGCTGTGAAAACCAAGAGTTCATTTTGTAAGTTTGCTTCTAAGTCGACAAATTTAAGTTTGGCCTTTGCTGCCTCAGCCTTTGCCCTTTGTTGCATTATCAAGCCAGAAGACGACAAGGAACTGAAAACGCTTGAGCTGTGCTTGGAACGTCGAGAATTTGCTGCTGAGCTTGGAGCCTTTACTTTGGAAGTCTTCAATAGGTGTGCTCTAGGATCTGTTGACATTGGGTTCAATTTTGGGATAAACACTAGGTTTGGGTTCATATTGTGAGATAGCAAATTCTAGGTTTTCTGGATGCATTTCTTTAGTCTTTGATATCGATTTCTGAATGTGTTGAAGTAAGATTTCGGTTTTTGTAATAGCAGTTTCCCTGATGAAACGCTCGGTTGAGGCTTGCATAAGTGTTTCCTCAGTGTTTGCTCTTTTACGAAACTCTGTTAAATCCTGTGAAATCCTCGAGTACTTTGATAAGGCTGACTCAGTTCTCTTTAGACATTGGTCAAGAATTGTCAAGTCACTGTGGTCTTGCAGCTCTTGAAATATCAGTGTTTCTTCTTCTATCATGTGTTCCACTTCCCTTAAAGTTCTCTCATATTTTCTTACTTGGGCTGTGTGATTTTCCTGTGCTCTTTCTGTGAGAACTCGTGTCCTCTTTCCTGTCCCCTCGCTCTGGACATCCTCGGAATTCTGCATCTTGAAAGCTGTCGATCTCATTTTCTTACTATGCTGCCCCCGTATTTACCACAAAACACTCGGCAGCTAGTTTACGGTCTTCATTTTAGCATAAGTTCGCCGTAAGAACTACAATAAACAAAACACTAATAAGTTCTTACATTCTCACCCATTCTTACATTCTCACATACACTAACACACACATACTCAGTCATTAATTAAAGTCACGAGATACAGAGTTATAAACTATAGAAAGTACCAAAACAAAGGTTGAAGAAATTCGAACTGTCCATGAATACAGGCTTTAAAAGAGTCAACATGCTAAAATATCACCTATCAATATGCCTAACTTTAACAAACAATATGATAATACAATTACAACGAGGTGCTTGACCAACTTTCTCAGCGATCATGTTCACATTCACATGGTAGATGCATTCCTTGCGCCTTTTTCACACAACGAACGATAACTCTCACACAGGATGCAGAAGTACAAAATTAGATAACTCGTTCCACTACAAGGAGTATTAATATCAGTGTTCACTATTGCAAACAATGATGTATCATCCGCGAATAATCGAATTTCATTATGTATGCCTTCATTTATATCATTAATGTATAATAAATTAACAATGGAACTAGCACAGACCCCTGGGGTACTCCTGCATCAACAGTTTTAAGGTTGAGGAAAAGCCTTCTACGTTTACTTTTTGTTGCCTGTCAGTAAGGTAGTCTTTAATCCATCCCAAAATATTATTTTTGAAGCCTAAGTTTTTAAGTTTAAAGATAAGTCCTTTATGCCAGACCCTGTCAAAGGCCTTTGAAATATCACAGAATATAAATCTTAAGTCTCGGCCTTTATCAAGATTTGACATAATTTTATATATTTCGACTAGTTGGTTTATTGTAGAGTCACCTGGTTGGAAGCCAGATTGATTTTTTCATATCAATTCGTAGCCTTATATATAATTGTACATATACTTTGAACATGATTTTACATATTGTACATATACTTTGAATATGATTTGAACAAACGAATCTACATACCTGTGGATGGTTCTTCAATAGTTTCATCTTTCCTGGCCCAGTGGTTTTTGAGAATATGTTTGAAAAATGCCATTTATTTTTCATAATTATCTCCACTTGGAAGAGGGCGTGGCGCTTCATTTGAACAAATTTGAATCCCTAAGGATACTTTTGGGCAAGTTTGCTTGAAATTGGCCCAGTGGTTCCTGAGAAGATGAAACTGTGAAAAGTTAACATCAACATCGACAGACAACGTAAAAATTTTGATCGTAAAAGCTCACTTGAGCCTTCGGTGAGCTAAAGAGCTGAGAAGATACAGGTAGCTAATTTCTTCTGGAATCCTTGCTGAAATTTTGTGTTGAAGTCAAAATTCTTTCGTTTTTGGTTCTTAGGGTATCTATTCTACTAGGTGTAGTCTTACGGAACCCTAGGTCTGTGCATCAGCTTATTATTGTCCTTCTGTTTGGGTTTCCGCAGATTTCTCACACCACATTGATTAAAGCTTACATACATTTCCATCAGCCTGATGGCATCAGGGAGGCTGGCTGTTTCTAAATTTCCTTACCTGGTCTAAACCTGAGAAAAGGAATGCTTTACCTCTCTGTATGTGTTTTAAAGCTCTTGCTTTTACGTGTTGCATGCATCATTATCCGTTCTGTAAGCTGGTCATATGTTGATCCTTTCGTCTGACAATTTTGCAGGAGGTGTAAATTCTTCTGCCGTTTCCTTTTTGGTCTCCGCAATGCGGAATAGTTTCAGAAAATTTATGTTGGGTTTCCGTATGCTGAAACGCAAGGGTATTTCTTCAAGGTTTTCGATAGCCAACTTTACTTTCTACTATTAAAGTATAAAAATACTATTTTCTTTAGGTTTCAGTTTCCGGATCTCGATTCCTTATGTTTTCCACTATGCTGAAACCACAATGAATTTCATTCTTTTTTTAAGAAATGAAAAAAACAACAACTTACTTTACCTTTATGTTTATTTAAATATTTTAAAAAATTAACGAAATCAAACATTTCAGAAAAAGTTTACGACCTGTGTCCGCTATGTATAAACTTCCAAGTAAGAATATCGATATCAAGTCAGAAATGACATTGTGTCAGTTGGATTGTACAGGTACTGGCAAGAGGTGTATTTATTTTGGGCATTTTAGGAGTTATAATAAATTTCTTTCATTTACGCTCTGTTTGTCTCGGAGTTGTTACTACTTGTATATTTATCTACGGTTATTCGTCGAACCCGTTTCATTAGTCTGGTAAGATATTTTTAGGTCACATGAGTCACTTCGTCCGTTGTCGTGCGTCGTGTGTTAACATTTGAACATTTTCAGCTTCTTCTCTGAAACCACTGAACCAATTTCAACCAAATTTAGTATACAACATCTATGGGTGAAGGGGAACAAAAATTGTGAATTTCATCGTCCCCGCCCCCCTGGGGCCTGAGGGGTGGGGCCAAAACCACTAAAATTATTGCAATATTTAAAAATCTTCTTTTCTCCTGTATATGAAGCAGGAAACTGTTGGCATGAATGTAATGAGCATTGAGTCCTTTACCAAAATTGTGAAATTCATAGTCCCATGGTCAGGGGTGCTAGTGCTAGGGCGGGGCTATATAGAGAATATAGTGAAAATGCATTATTTCTGTGAAAATCTTCTCAGCTCCTTGGTATTAAGTAAACTTACTAAATATATAGTTTTGATAAGCAA